TATATATATATATATATATATATATATATATGCTTAATTCGAAGAAGAATTCGTCGATAATAAAATTCAGATCGCGAAGGTCGTCATTGAAGTTGAACAGTGTAGTAGCGAAACGCGTCAAACAACGGGGAACCGAAAAGACAGATAGATTTGCTGACTCGATATGGTATTCACTTGGTGCGTCTTTCGTGTTAAAAGTAGATAATTGCCTTACTCTTCCAAAGTTCTCAGAGAGCGCGGTTGCGCACACTGGGCGATTCATTTCGTCTTCGTAAGCGACGAGTGTAGTTTAGTTAGATAGTACAGATCGTAACCATTGTTTTCCACATCTATGGAAACCACGTGAATCGAAGCGTGCATGTTACTCGCGAGCCAAGTCTTTTTAAACAATAAATCTAGGGGACTGTTGACTCAGATGTGATTGTGTAAGATCGATAATTCGTTTGTCAAGCACCGTGTATAGCTCTCGATCGACGTGTAACTTGCCTACGTGTGTCAGCAATGCTGTATGATGCGTCTAACTTTGCCTAGTTATCCGAGACGTGAAGTGTCGAGGTTTGCAACAAATTGGCCTTCACACAGCGCCTTGACGAGGGAAATAGTTTACTCGCGTTCGATACTTTGTTACGTGCTCTCGTGAGTCTTCACGAGCCGTCTCATCTAAAGACTACCTATCGTTAGAGTAATTAAGAGACCAGTCATGAATAGTATGAATAGATGAGAATTTAAAAAGAAAAAAATGTGCAAAATATATAATTGTCCAACGTTAGCTTATTATCGTGCCTGAATTTATATCAAGACCAGACCTGAATACGAAGTACAGAAATAGCGTTCTACCGCAAATAGAATATTGGAATAGTAGAATCAATATCCTGGGACCATTGTACACTTGTAATGGCTACCTAAAGCAGTTAAAAATGAAAAAAGCAACCGATAGATTGATATAGCAGCATTTATTAAACTTCGGTGTTTATAGTTCAGGAAGGGAATGAAATATATATTGTTGCACTATACTGTTTTCAATCGAGGATCAACTGTAGGAACGTGATCGTCCGTTCGAATTTAGCAAGTTTCCTATTGGTACAACAGATGTGCATTATAGGTGCATCTTCTATTGCTTCGGAAATTGAGTAAAGGTAACCGTGATATTTGAAAATAGTTGTGATGTAAAATTCTACGAAATAATAAAAAGAAACTCGTTAATAAGTTGACGTATAAATGTAAACATAAATTCTAACATTATCGCGTTGATTGCGTTAAATTCCGATTTGTGCAAACCAATCGTAATATTTAGGACTATTATCATATTGGAGCAATTAAAATATTAAATATATTTTATTCAACGTCAATAATATACGTTTTCTTTCACCATCACAAATCTGCAGAAAAACAACAACAAATAAAAAACGTGTTAGTTGCAATATACTAGTACAACCTCGATTATTCGATTATTCTTAAATACACTTTCCCTTATTCATAGTTCAATATTAGGTTAAAAAATAAAATAAGAAAATATGCAACTTTCTGATATTTCGAGTATCTCACAATATTCCGCATTTTACTTTATCATGATTATATAGCGTTATAGCATTCTACCGAGAGAGGGAAAACAATGAATAAAATATCGTGTAATTAAATATATCGCGTTATTCATAATAACATTGATCATCAGTGTGAGTTTATATAAATCAACTTGTATATTCCCAGATAAAGGATATAATGAATACATGTAACGTGATTCAAGAACAACAGACACTTCAGTAATCATCTCCGCGAGAAATAACTTCTTTACACGTTGGACGTAGAACGAGAGTATGCTCGAATTGAGCAGTGTAACATCCCTTGACATCGACCAAAGGTGGATAAGCCTCTACCGCACCTTTATCACATAGATCCTTCAGAGCCATTTGATACTTTGTGCAACCAACACGATCTAACCATCGCTTGCAGAAAGCCAAAGTACCTGTTTGTTATAAATATACAGTTTGTTGTTTTACTATTTCGTTATATCTCAATAGATGAATTATTATTTATAGGAACGAGTTGATGAATTGTTGGTATATTTACCGAAATGCTTGTTGATGACATTGAGTAGCGATTTACTGCTTTGTAATCTCAGTGGAACGAAACCGGCATCGAAGCTCTTCATATAATGAGAACAATCTAGATCATCGTGAACGATTCCTCTCCCAGTAGATCCGAAAGTTTCAATGGCATAGAATTCATTCTCTTCCATTCTGGTAGCTTCACCTCCTTTAACTATCGGTACAGTTTTTCCAGCGTGGATACGATACGGAGCGATTGAATGACCATTAAGATTTCTTATGGATTTTACCTAAACACGAATCAATGATATCGATTCCCGGTATAATCTACAGATTATAATCGAAAAAAGGTAAACAAACATACAGGATAAGTTTTGCCGTCTAATTCTACTTCGTACGACTCCATAACTTCTTGGATCGCTGCACCAACGTCACATAGCTGAACATCAATACCAGCAGCTTTAATCCCAGTATTTGTAGCATCACGAACTGCTTCGATGAGTTTATCGTATTTCGGATTGAACGCTAATGTAAATGCACAATCGATGATTCTTCCGTTAATGTGTGTACCAAAGTCTATCTTGGTTACATCGTCGTATTCCAAAACGGTCGGGTCTCCAGCGTTTGGAGTATAATGAGCTGCACAATGATTTCTTGAGCAGCCAGTTGGAAATGCTAGCCCAGCTTTTAATCCATCTTCTCCTATCAATTTTCTGCCCGTGTTTTCCAACTCATTGCAAATTTCTATCATTGTCATTCCAGGTTTCACCTGGAAATTAATCACGTTTTAGTATGAATTGCTTTCTCCATTTACATTCATTTCTACTACATACCCATTTCATAATATGTTTTCTTGTTTGCCTATGAGCTTCAGCTGCTTGCCTTGCTTCATTATAGATATCGTTATGCATTCTATCGAAGGCACGTGCTTCTTCGCTAGAAAAACGATTTTTAGCTGTTCTGTCATCTACTCCTGCAGCGGGAGGATGATCCATTATTTGACCAATTGGAAAATTCCCATCTGGGAACAATTCTGATACAGGAATAGTCGGAGGATCTGTTTGTTGCTTAGGACCTCCAGCTTTTCCACGTGATTTACGTTTCTTTTTCTTTTTCTTGGCATCGTCTGTTTCTGCATCATTTTCTATTGCATCTATGTCACCTTTTATAATGCCATACGAATTAAATGCCATAAATTAAATATATATGAAATGATTATCTTTCATATGAATATAAAAATAAGTTACCTTCAACATTATCTTGTTTAGGTTTATCTTCTTCCCCTTCCGGAACATCTGCGCTAGCTTCGCCAGCTCCTAAAAGATATTTATTGGGAAATTATAAAAGTGAAAATATTGGCGCAAAACAAAATAATAAGCGCAATTCAAAATTACATTAAATAAAATTTTCATCGTATATAATAACCTAAAATTAATAATACTAATATTATAAAACTAAAAGTAACTATAAGTTTTATCATAAAATCCAAATCACTTTGTGCAAAGCAAAACTCCAGTCGTGAGATAGTAGGAAATAGAAACAGGTGCGAAGCAACTTCTATATGCACATTGCGTCGCTCACGGACACGTTGTGTTGTGTTCATTAGTTACTACCACGTAAATACAAAATTGTATAACGTGAATGTACATCGTTGGGAATAAATTGGAAAAGAATGTTATACGCGTACGCATGTTTACTTTCAAAAGCAAAAGATCGAAACGTAGACGCGAGACATACGATAATCCCCAAACTCGCGTAAATGAGTATGCACCGAACAATCTATGAAATGGCGTACCAGCTTTCTTCTTCTTTTTCTTCTTCTTTTTCTTCTTCGAAGCTTCTACTGCGCCAGTTTCATCTTCCTCGTCAATGATTTCGTCTTTTTCTTCATCTACTAATTTTTCGGCGGACTTGCCGACTTCATCCAACACAGCAGCCATTTTCAAGAGGAAACCAAACACAGTTATGTCATCGACGATGGACAGTATAGATGAAGCACCTCATGGCAGTTTTCGTCTTATGTCCTGAAATACCGACTGGTAAAAAATCAGTTTTTCACGACCTCTATGATTCGTTGTAACTAATTACAAAAATTTCAGTTTAATCATTAAAAGCAATAAAATCTATAGCTAGGAAAAAATCGCACTACGTATCTGATAGATTGCTTTTTATTGTAGCATATGTATTATTTTCAACTATTAATTATTATTTGCGTATCTTTGTACGAAATGCGCGCGCAATTTAACTTTAGGTGAAGATCACAGCGCCAACGGAAACGGCCAAATGTGGAATACACCTATTACGATTCTCGAACAGAGAGAATCGATATTTCTCGACAGCGAGAAATCTCCAATAACGTACGTAACGTACTTCTTCGTGTTTACTACGGGCGGGAAACATAGCAAGAAGAATTATCCGAAAATCCAAGCAAAGAGTGTAGTTAATTTTTAGACTTGTTTCACATTGTTGAGTACATTTGCTATTTACGCATTATTGGATTATCTAGATTGTTTAGTCAGCATTATTTAGAAAACTTATTACGTATATTCAATTCGGTCCGTTGTTGGTTAGAAGTGAGTATGAATAATTCATACAGTGGTTTGTCAAAGTATTTGCACATATAGCAAAAAAAATTGTATATTCCTATAAACATTACGATCGTGTTGATAAAATTTTAAACTATAAAATTTTTTTAAATTCGTGGTTACGTATGCATGTGTCGAAACTTGTTGGTTATTACGAAATATATGCTTCAAATAGATGTTTAATAATCCTCATGCATCAGTATACTGCAAGTGTATTTTATTTCAACAAGTAAAATTAGCGAATGTTTATGTATAAATGTTTAAACATTTTCATTAGGTGCTTTATCTTTCGGTAAATTATCGAATTCGATTCGTATACGATCGAGTCTCCCTCCTCCTCTTCCCCCCACCACAGTTAGTGACGTGAACTGTATCGCGGGTAGTTGATTGTCGAAAATCATGGTGCTAAGACGTATTTCTTTTCGCGTGACACTTATTAACTGTGTAATATTTTCATCGCCATTTTCTCATCCTTCAGATCCACACTATTAGTAAGTTCGTTTAATTAACTTACGTTATTATTCAATAATTTATCAAATATTTATATACTTTAGATTTTCATTTGTATAGATTGTCGTTGGAGTGTAAGGGAATCTTCGAAGTATTAAGGGAACGCCATGAATTTCACAAGGACGCCACGAAATTCAAAAAGAACATCATGGTGAGTTATATAAATCTAATAGCTTTTCATAGAGTTATGGAATAATTGATTTATTCTGAAGGAAATAGCTTTTCTCTTCCTTCGGAGAGAAATGTTACGATCAGGTTTAAAATGTTGTGCGCATTGCGTTGTTTGAGTACTGCGCAGTTTAATGGACAAGCGCGCCATATTTGATTATTTAAAAGTACATTTGAAACTTTAATGATAGATATTCAAAGTAAAATTTTTGCACATTAGTTATGTCACAAAATATTTATAAACATCTGGTAATATTAAGAAATATTTTATAATAAATATTAATATATTAAATACAATAAAAATTAATATACTAATTAATTCTTTTTTATTCCATATTTTTAAATAAACAAATAATTTATTTTATTCTTTGCATTTTGCTTGAACTGTTATTAATTTCTATTAAAATAAAATCTTTAAGTTTTAATATAAAAATAAAAACAACAAATGTTTAATTATTAAGTTTTAATTATTAAAATTTCAAATTTAGAATTTATTTTTTTATTATCTCAAATTTTTTAAACTATCAGTATATTTTTAAGAATAAATAATTGTAATTGTAATATTTGTTACAGATTTTGTTTATAATCCTCACTTTTTTCATGGTGTTCAACGTTGCTATTTAATGATGGATTTCTTTTGGATCACGACTAGATCAATAATGATGGTCTTCACATCTAATGGTAAGTCGCATGCATTTTTGTTCCTCTGTTCTCAATCATGTCGTAGAATGAAAGTCCGAATCGACACGATTGTATTATGTAAAATTTTTGATGAGTGACTACGGGTATTTATTACCCATGAATAGTAATATTTTATTTCTATGTTTTATTTATTAATTTAGGATTGGATCTTCTTGCATATCATGTTTTTTAGTATTGATAATTATGCATTAATAATTAATATCTGTAGAATACTGACATGATAAAATGAATTCTTCTTCCTCTTTTTCTTCCTCTTTCTCTTCATTTTCTTCGTCTTTCTTCTTCATTTCTTCCTCTCCTCCTCTATAAAGCATTCCCTGCGGTTTATTTTACAAATTTTCAACTTTATACGGACTTATCTGACGTCGGTAAATTAGACAACGACAATACCAACACTGCAAGAGGATAGTTTTAAAAGTTTCATATCTTACCGAGAGATGGCACTGGCAGCGAGCTCCCGGCATTCCACGGGTGGTTCGAAATGGGAGATGCGCGCGCGTTCGATAAAGACATGCGCGAGACAAGCGGCCGCAGTCTCGACAGTCAGTGCATGGCGGCCCGAGGCCCATCGATATCGTATCGCGTAGCACTCGAGATACGCGTTCGAGTACACGAGTGCGTCTGTGGTTCACCGGGAAAAACTTCCCTCGTCGTTCGACCGCTCGGTTGCAAGAGCACCGCCGTTGTAGTTGACGTCAGTGCGTGACGCTTGTGTGACAGGATTTCTCGTCCTTGCTGGATCTCGTGGATTCGCCGGGAATCGTCAGACAGCAGCGAGTGAACACGGACCAATCTCCCGGTGAATATTCTCATGCTCAATAATATTTTAATTCGCGTGCGCGACCATTTCTCCAACTATGCGCCGCTGCGCGTATTTCACCCGTTTCTACCGTGACCGTGCAATTACCGATTGGAGCAACAGGATTTATTTTGATTTTCTACAGTGACGTTTCACTATTTCTCTCTTTATTTATTCTTTTCTTTTTATTTATAAATTTCTCTCTCTCTCTCTCTCTCTTTTTTCCACCAGTGTCACCGTACGATGTCGACGGTGTTTGACTCGAAGTATAGGAATTATTACGCTCGTATATTCCTCCGACAGTTGCCATATTAACGTGGATGTCCTCGGAGCACGAGGGCGGCGTGTCCGCTCGACACGAACAAAGTAGTTTATATCACCATAGGATGACGTATTCGGCAACGTGTTCAATGATCTGGAAAATATCGCAGGAACAGTCTCGGTGTCACTGGCACGGATTTCTCGCGGATATCTTTATTTCCTGTATTTCCTACGTGCGTGCAACTTTTGACTCTCTTCCAGTTTCTTCCTCTCTCTCTCTCTCTCTCTCT